GTCTCCTCCCGTACCTCCGGGCGTTCTGCCCGGCGCAGCCGCCACGGTGGCCGCCTAACAGCTCCCTATGCTGGCCGCCCGCCCCTCAGCGGCCGAGCTCGGGGGGACATACTAACCGGCTGGTAGACGCCATCTTCGCGGCCACTGTGGTCCCAGCAACAACAGCTTTGCCGAAAACAGGAAGCGACTGTGGCGGCGAGACGCGCCGAAGCGGGCTTTTATAGACGAGTCACACACGCCGTCGTAACAGGGCGCGGCTACGGGTCGGGAGAAGGCCAAGAATGGTCTGATCCCATAAGCCACGTGCTTTGCGTTTTTTATGTTTTCCCTCTGTTTCTGTGATTTGTTATCTGTTGGGCGCGTCAACGAAACTACCCAGGAAAAAAAAAAATCTCAAGGGGACACTGCAAACACGCTACATCAGAGCTACTCTCAAAGCTGACTTGAGTCAAAACACGAAGACAACCCTGGCTTCCAGGTGAAGGTAAAGCCCCAAGTCGGTGAGCACCCGTCGCCCTTTACTCCTCCACCTCTCACACTGTCACTTACGCCCCTCTGAACGAGATTCTCACTTGCCCTGAGGGGTGATTCCTCCCTGCTAAGGAATTTGGACTAAAAAAAAAAAATTACGTAGGTCAACCAGAACTGGTGTCAGTCAACTGCGGCTCTGTCATTAGCTGGCATTCGGTGTCTTCTTGGTCACGCCCTTTAGTTCATCTGTGCAAGGGGTAATAGTATCTGCCTTGCACACCCTTTTAAAATTGGCAGGAGAGGAAACAAAGCCGGGAGAGAGCTCTGTGTGTGTGCTAGAGGCAGGGAGATAAGGGCCCTGCCTTCTCCCTCTCTCTCTCTCTCTTTTTTTTTTCATGGCCTTTGCCAGTTTAGCTGATAACTATGTATAGAGAATTTAGACTATCTAGATACTGCAAAAGGCCCCAGATTAATTCAGTAGCCAAACTAACATTAAAATGATCAAAATAATGACAATAACACTTCCACTTTACTGAAAACAAAACGCCCTTGACAATGTGGGGATGGGAAGAGCATGCTCAGTGGGTACCTGTGGGATGGAAAAAAACCTTGTAATTGCTCTGTTTATTTGTGATAGGACAAATGGCACTGTGCACACATTGGTCTTGTTTGAGAAGGTGGGAGATAGTAGCTTCTATAAAGCAAGGGTATGAGAAGCAGATTTAAAAACTGAAATCTAGATGGGGAAATTTTTAGTCTTTTTTTTTTTAAGATTTTTTTTTTTTCCTGGGGCCAGCAGTTAGCATAATGGCTATGTCGCTGAACTCCCATGTAGCCCACAGCGGTTCGAGTCCCAGACCTGGTGGCTTAAACTCATGCCGGGCATGTGTGTGTGCGTGCCCAAGATCCCAGAGGAGAATGGAAGAGAAGGGATTGCTGTGTGGCCATCCCCCGAGAGGTGATTTTCTCTCTCTCGCTCTCTCTCTTTCTCTCTCTCTCTGTCTTTCTGGCGAGCACACTCGCCCTATAGCAAAAAACTCTCCAAAAAAAGATTTTTTTCTTTATTTTATGTATCATCATCGATATTCTCAATTTGACCAGGGCGACACAGAGAGAGAGAGAGAGAGAGAGAAAGAGAAAGAGCGAAAGCAAGCCGCCTGGTCTGGGATTTGAACTGTGGTCGGCCAGGTGGAAGTCCAGTGCACCCAACCACCATGCCACCTGCCAGCCCTGCTTTTCTTTAGTCTTTTATTCTATAATTTTTTAAAGGAATTACCCATTTAATTTAATTTATTATTATCTTTTAAAAGAATTATTTATTCAACCTATTCATTCATTCATTTATTGTAATTTGACCAGAGAGAGGGAAAGTGAGAAAGCAAGCCACCAGGTCAGAGACTCAGCTGTGGTCCGCCATGTGGGAGTATTCAGTACCTTAACCACCACGCCACCTGTTGGTTCTTATTATTTTTAAATTTGCTATAGGGCATGTGCACTCACCAGAGAGAGAGGGAGAGAGAGCAAGTCGCCAGGTTTGATCTGAGCTGTGGTGGGCCACGTGGGAGTATAGCGCCTCAACCATCACTCCGCCTGCTGCCTCCACCATTATGTAATTTAAAAAACTGTACTTATATGGGGGATATTTCTCCCTTATTATTTTGGAAAAGTTCAAAAATGCCAGCCTTTTAGATAGTGATATAAGCCGTCTGTACTTCCCTGTCAGCAGCAAAGAATTAAAGAACAAGGAAACAAGCTGAGCCACATGGTTTATTGGGAGAGAAAGATGGAGGGATGTATTCTGTAGCTGGAACGAGCCAGTGCCAACAGAGACAAGCAGGCCTGTTCTCTTTCCTGGTTGCTTTTTATCCTGCTTTAGATCTTTTGCTTAGTCAAAATATGTACCCCCAGGTCTCTAGCTGGCTACTTTTTATCTTTGTTTTCCCCTTCTAAATATTTTGAGAATTTTGAGAATTTTGCTACGGTTAGAAAATAAGTAGTTCTATGGGCCCTCCTTAACCCGTTACGTTCTTGGTATCCAAATCAACACCTACCAAACCATTTCAGAAGTACCAAGTGCAAGGAGAAAAGAGCTTCGGGGGATGCTCCACCTTAATCTAGTAGGGACCTTTAATGGTAGAGCATCTTGTCTTGGAGGAAGAAGAAGAGGGGACAACTAGTCATCTTTTGAGGATCAAGATTAAGGGCCTGGCCCTTAGTGGATCCAGGGTTGGCATTTACTATTGTTTGTAAAGAAAGAAGTCAAGAAATTGAAACTCCAGAGAAGAGAGGGAGTGAGATTGTTAAATTACTCCTGGCCCACCTGGGGAGTCTCTTATCTATCATAACTTCCTAAGAATTTATTTTATATTAAAATTGGGAGAAAAATGATTGTCGCACACGAGAATGCATGTAAACAAGTGGAATGGTATACCATAGCAGAATTTAACAGAAGTCATTGACAATTCAATATATACTTCCAAAAAAAAAAAAAAACTAGAACTATTACCAAATGTGTACAACATAGTGTGATGTTCAATGTTGAATAGGATGAATATGTCTATATTCTCGATTTGATTATTATACGCTATGCGCACTTTGAAAAACTATACTGTACCCTACAAAAATATACAACAATTACATGTAAACCAGAAATCACACACAAATAAATATAAATAAACCAGAGCATTGTTTAGTCAAGATATCCTTTTTTTTGTTAGAAAAGCATTGCCAATTTATAAGGCATTTTCATCAGCATTGTCTCATTTAATCTTTATTTGTGATCCTGAGATTAAAACACACACACACACATACACAGCACACATACACACAGCACGCATACACACACTACTGGGGTTTTATCACCTAGGAATCAATGGCCTAGACTAACATTTACCAAAATTTCTGTTTTTATTGTTTTTTAAAGTAATCATGTACTTTATTTTGTTAAGTGAATTGTTTAAGTTAGTTCATCTTTTTTAACTTAAAAAATGTTTGGAAAAGACATATCACTATTGTGAAATCACAATTTGATGTGCTAGTTATAGTTTCTCTAAAATTTAAAATGCTTTATATACTCATTATATTTTTAAAGTTTCTGACATACCAAGATTTATCTTTTTGAAAAAAATTTTGTGAGGTTTAATTAAATATCTAAAAATTCAATGATTTTTAGTAATTTTACTGAGTTCTGAAGCCATCCATACAATCCAGTTTTAGCATATTTTTATTATCCCAGTAAGATTACCTGTTCTCATGTATAGTAAATTCTTCTTTCTTGGGGCTAGCAGGTGGTGTAGTGGCTAAGGCACTGGACTTCCATATGACTGACCGCTGTTTGAAACTCATGCTGGGCATGTATGCAATATGTAACCCAAATGCCAGGAAGAGAATGGAAGATAAAGGATTTCGGCAAGACCTTCCCTCCTGGTGGAGTAGGGGGGTGATTTCTCATTTTCCCTCTCTGTCTCTCTGGTGAGTGCACACACCCTATGGCAAAAAACTTAAAAAAATAAAAAGAAAAACTTCTTCCACTCCCAGCCTCAAGAATAACTAATTCACTACCTGTATGGATTTGTCTTTTTTGGACTTTTCATACAAATGAGCTCATATAATATATCATTTTTTTGTCTGGATTCTTTCACCTGGCATAATGTTTTGGAGAGCCATTAGATTCATCTTTCAGCATCACTTTTGGAGTGAATCATTGATATCATAGTGTCCATTAGAGAAGGAGCCGGATGGTAATGTTGAAGATGGCAATTTCCCGACATAAACAAGGTTTGACAAATATTTGTTTGGAAATTCTAAGGTTTATTCTGTTAGACTAAGAAGAACAGAGGATACAGTGAAATGTATTGCCAGATGAGACTTGACTTTTTAGGAGAAGGCGTGAGATGCCTTGAATGTGAGACAGGCGTCATGTACCTGGTTGATATGGGGCCATAATGTATTACTTCTAGAAATATGAAGCTTTTTAATTTTTTCAAACTTTTTATTGTGAATGAAAAATTAGAGAGAATAGTTTAATGAAAATTAAACTTTTTAAAAATTTTTAAAAATTAATTAATTTTACGTTCTTTCACTCAACATCATCACAGCATATAATATATGATTTGCCATCCAGAATACACTGTATAGTGGCTTAATCATACATGTTATTGTCAACAAATAATTCTCCATTTCTTGTTTTTTGTATATATACATATTTCCCCCCCTTTTTCTCACCCTCTGTCATTTTCCACCCTCCTCCCACACTGTCGCTGGTATCTGCAGTTGCTCTCCATTCCTTTTTAATTTTTTCCCCACATTTTATTGATTTATGAAATATCTTAATTAATCTAAATAATTTCTTCCTTCCTTTTTTTTTTTT